GAATCAGACAGGCTGGTTGGTTCAGGCTTTGCTAACCATAACTGGCGTAACACTCTGGCGCTGGAGTGTAGTCCTGCCGCTGCTTATATGCTGGTCTCCTGATGACTGATGAGCCGCAGGTGTGGTCGTCAGCTCAGCTCCAGGAGACCTAGGGTGCCCTCTGCCGGAGAAAGGTGGACAGACCTCCAGATCCCAAAAGTTTATTGCTTTACTCATTGTGCATTAACCCTGAAGCAGGATCAAAGGTCAGGAGAAAGTCCATCAGCCCACATGTGAGGATACTGGTGAACTGATCGACTTTGAATGGATAATGTGAATTTGCAAAGTAGATGATTGTGTTAATTTCTCTGTATATATTTTGTTTTAATTCTTCTACTTTGTGTAATAAAAGATTAAATGGGCATGGTCTTTGTTTTCAATGTTCACGGAGCAGATTCAAAGCATGTTTCGCTTAAATGTCAGATCAAATGTACAATATGTTACTATATTATATAAATTGTAAATGTACAGTAAGTTATTGGCTACTAAGTTGCATTTCTTTTACAGAAACAATGTAAAAGTGTATCTTGCAACATACTATGATTTCAAAGCAACATACAGCTATTTCACCGTAATTCCACTGTCATTGTTACTGAAATTACAACATATAGCCTTTATTTTGGTAGAACTTATTATGAAATACAATAACTTACTGTGATGTATTTACAGTAAGATAGTGTGATATAATCCATGTTGATTACTGTGGAAGTAATGCAATTAGTAGCCCATAATTTACTGTAAAATTACAATGAAAGATTTAATGTCAGAGTTTTACATTCTCTGGTGGCTCAAAAACTCCACCTGATCCTACTGACACCTTTTGTATGTAGGCTGTGTTTTCAACCCAAATCTTGTAAAAAAAAAAAAAAAAATTAATTTATAAATAAAAACAGATTTTCACTTAATTCCAAGCCAACTGCATCTCAGTACCTTCTTCAATTTCAGTCTGGTCTGGTCTCAAAAGTATGTTGGAACAAAACTTGGTCTCTTCTCAGTAAGAATCTACTAGTCAACAAGGTTAAAAACATTTCCTTTATGATCTTTCACAGTTGTTACCCAGTAAAGTCATTTGTCGCTTCATTCTGGACTATGGTAAATTCAAAATTTACTTTAAAGATGTTTCATTTGGGATCACAAATTATTTAAAAAACAGCTGTCGAACCATTTATTTTTTTATGTAATTCTCTTCTACTTTTGGCCAAGTTTTATATTCACAAGTGTTGTTAGAATTAAACCCTCAAGTGTCTCTTTTATAAAGGAAGCGATCATTTAATTTTCCACTCTCCTCCTTCAACAAAGACAAAGCTATTGAAACTTTATGTTCTAAGTTCCAAATATTTATGAAATCTAAATGCATGCTGTCATACGTAGCTTTACTTTTCCTACAAACCCATGGCAATTATTCACTGTATTCATTTGCACTCTTATTTGTGTTATTCCATTCTCTGTGTTACAAAGAAAATTCTAATTAAGTTGAAAAATAAAGAACGCCTGCATTATGGCCAGTCATCTCCTAGGACCCTATGGAGCTATATTGGGGCCATAAAATTTGTTCAAAAAAAGTTAACCCTGAAAGAAATTTGTTTGGAGAATAAAAAGATTTAGACCTGGGACACAAAAAGTTTGTTAAAAAAAATAAAAGACATTCGAACCTGAAAAAGACGTGCCCAAAGCGCTTTAAACTACATTTCATTCACACCGTTACATCCACAAGGGCACAACATATTTGTGGACGCACACAAAACTGAGGGTACAAAATAATTTTTTTGGTTTATTTATTCTGTTGTCAACTCTCTTTCAAACTCTCTTTTCTCAAGACAGCTGCGGGGATGTTCTGTAGAGAAAAAAGAAAAAGAAACTGAATAAAATATCCTCAGCTTCGATGTCCAGGAAAAAAAAAAAGAAGAAGAAAAGGAAAAAACAAACAAAGTATTAACAGAAAGTTGGACCTGGTGAGGCAATCAAAAAATAACAGTACAGCAGGGGGCCAACCCTATACAGGGCCGTCGAAGCCTCTACTAGTAGCGGACTACAGGAAGAAAAAACTACTAAACAGAAATAAATAGTCAAAAACAGGACAACTGGTCCCCAGGCCAAAATCACTATGAAAACTGCATCCAGGCTAACAAAGATACTGCATGGCAGGTCGGAGGTGTCGGCTGTGTGGCTGTTGAACAACCTATTCCCAGTTGCGCATTCAGTGACTGTGGCAACTGTAGAAGCTGCTAACATGAATAGGGAAAGCTAATCTCAAAGGATAAAATGTGATTTTGACAGATTTTTACAGAATTTCGAGATTTCCCATGCAATGTAAAGTGGAAGAACCGCCAGACTGACTGCATTTCGCTGCAGAGAGAGCTAGATCCAGCAATCCACTGCCTCTACCCAGCTCTCATGCACTATAGGCCAGGTATCTGGCTAGGATCTTCTGCACAACACTCCATTGCAGCACAATGGGGTGTTGTGTGGCAACTCTGCCCCGCTCTGATGCACTCTCTACCTGGGGGTTTGGAAAAGAATACCGGGTAGTAGTAGATATGTCCAGCCAGAGAGTGAAGCTGTGTGGGGCAGGTAGCTCTGGAGGCTAACTGGACTGGCAGAGTGCAGTATAGCATGAGAGGGGTCAACTCTTGAAGCTACAAGAGGAGGATGAATAATTTAAAATTTCATTTAAGGGCTAAATTAAAGTGGCTTTTTTAAAAGCCACCCAAAAACCTCCAAATACTTTGATTTATATTTCACAACATTTTAACAACATCTAAAGTATCATGAAGGGGTAAACATCTGAAATACAACAGAAATAATAAGTTAAATAAAATCAAGGAAGAATTTCTTGTAGAACAAAACTTGTGCTTTCTAGAGCCTTGGTATTAATAAATCCTTTAACATTTTTTTGTCTCAATACCAGGTGTGCAGATCTACCACTAGAGGGCGCCATTGACCAGAATTCTGTATTTAATAGGCTCCAGAAATTAAACGCTAAACCCAGAAACATTTGGTAGATGCAAGCTGTATAATGTGTACTTTGACAAATGAAATAATGTAAATATATTTTCTTTTTGTTGTTACTATAAAGGATCAGTAACAGAGAGAAATGGAAGCAGAAACTTGAATGTATAAGCATCTCAGGTCATCACGTGATTAAAGAAGCAGCTTCATGGTTTCATTTTCGATGACAACCCCAACAGCTAAATTTCACCTGGATTTCTATGACGTGCTGGGTCATAATATTTTCTGATTGGTCGGGATTCATGGTAACGCCCCTTTTCATCCTAGATCTGGGAGTTTCTCTCAGTCTGGAGCCTCAGATTATTTTTGAACCCAACAGATTCAGATGGTGACAGAGGACAAAATGTTAAAGTTGCTGGTTCTGGTTCTTCTGGGGATAAACAGCGCTGCAGCTGGTAAGTTATCAGGATATATTTATTTTTATATTGTTTTTTTATTAATGCTATAAATAAATGTACACTTTTGTTTACTTCCAGGGTAATAATATAGCCTTATAACCAAGTAATAAGTTAACCTGATATGTTTTCCAAACACAAGATTAACATTTAAACAGTTAAGTTAAATTATTTCTCCCTTTGCTCTGGTTTTTAACCTTAACTTTGACTTATTAAGCTGGAAACTAGGGAACAATAGTTTAGAAATATGTTAAATATTATTAACTCATCGGGGTTATAAAAAGCTTTGAATGGAAGTACAGGAAATAAACAAAAAATAAAGCGATCAAAAAGAATAAAATAAATAATAAATCTGATAAGGTGTTAATTTTTAAAATATCTTTACAACCCTACGTTTTTTTTTAGATTATGTTAATATAAGGCATTTCTACATAACTATATTTACTATATATATCTATTGTAGTCCACATTATTAAATGTTTTATGTGTGAGAAGCATAGATATCAATATTTATGGTGAAAAGGAGCTGAGACAGCAACACGGGATGACGTCACGGTGTCATCCTTGTACAAGATTTTCGCGCCTCAGACTTTATAATAAAAACTAATCATGGCTCTAAGCATCGGACTCTGCTCTGAATAAATATCTTTAGCATCAGATATCTGCCAGAATGTGATGAGGAAATGGATCCATTGGACATCCTGGTTTATCAGGCCTGATTTATTGACTGCTGAGAAGCTTGGCGGTTTTAGAGAAACAGGCTAAGCTAGGCTAGGCTAAGATCCCAACATTAAAGCTAGTGATAAATATGGATTACAGGCCTAAATCAATAGAAGAGGCTTTTTCGTGTTTCTGTCGTTCTGTCTCGATCACCGGAGAAAGGTGGTGTCGTCATCCGGCAGATACCAATGAAACAACCTTTGTCTTTGGTTTGGGTTGAATAATTGTGATTAAAAGTGTAGTAGAGGATGTTCTTTTCCTTCCTCCTAATTGTCAACCATTATGGTGATATGTTTATGTAAGGCCGTCCTATGTGCTCATCCCTATTTCCTCTTAACGGTGGTGAGTCTGACATAGTTGAAAAATTCCAATTTTTTATTTTTTTTTGCAAAGTTTGCGTGAGCAATGCAAACAGCAACTTTTAAACAGAGCGTGGATGAAGAGAAATGGGCTTGTGCACAAAAAAGAGTAAATAAAGAAGCTAATTAAAAGAGACATATACATTTATGTCTGTATAATTTAATTTCTACCTACAGTTATTTGTTTGTATTATTATTTGTATTTTTGAGGGCAATTAATTGTACCGTATTTTCACGACCATAAGGCGCACCGGACTAAAAGGCGCACTCTCAGTTATGTGTCCCATTTCTGTATTTAACACACACATAAGGCACACCGGACTATAGGGCGCGTTTTTTATATACAGGTACAAGTCCTCTACTACCTTTAAATTCCTCTACTGCGTATTTAAAAATACAGCGGGGGCAAAACTGAGTATG